AAAGAATTGGCTTATACAATTGTCGGTGTTGGCAGGTCTGAAATCTACAGGGCAGGCCATCAGGCTGGAAGAGGACGCTCAACTCGGGGTTTCCCTCTTGCCATCTGGAGGCAGAACTTGTTCTTTCTGGGGAAACTCAGTATTTAGTCTTAAACCTTTCAACTGATTGGACAAGGCCTGAGGACAACTCTGCTTTAAGCAGAGTCTGCTGATGGAGATGTTCACCGCATCTAAAAAACACCTTCTCAGTAACAGCTAGGCTGATATTTGACCAAACAGCTGTGTACTAGAGCCTAGCCAGGTTGACACTAAAATGACAGTGACTTACACAGAACAGACCCCACAGAGCTCTCACCCCCCCGACTCCCCTCATCATGTTCTTCCCCTCTGTCCCTCCTGGGATTTCCTCTTCTGTCTCCCTCTCCCGCTCCTCATTCTAATATTTTAGGTTCATTCCCTGAGTTGTGTCACTTCTTTACTTTCCTGATTTTTCTGCCCCTCTATCACACATTTTCTTTCCACCTGCCTCCTTCCCACCCCACTCCTCACTACACTCAGGTTCCCTTGTCGTCCTTTAGAAAACACTGTCATAATCATCCTTCTGTTCTCGCTCAGCAGAAGATCTGGAGCTCAGTGTGCAGAGATTGATGTTCAGTTCCATTCTTTGTCACACTTATTTTATTATTGGACGTGAATGAAAGTGATCACAATAATACAAACCAACTCCCTTGAACTTCTCACCACTCTTCCTTCTCTGTCCTGGAGCTCAGTGTTGTGATGGAAACTCCAAGGACTTGAGTGTGGTTTCATGCTGGGGAGAGTCGCCTCTTCAGGAGTGAATGAACTCCCCAGTCTCCTGGGGAGCCGCAACCCTGAGGCAGACCTTCTGTTGGCTGTTGCCCTGCATGGCCTGCCGTGGGGTGAGAACCAGGGTAGCTGTGCTGTGGGCACATGACACTGCACATAGAGGCAGCCCACCTGCATGAGGCCATGGGGATTCCTGCAGACTTTGTGTGTTCTCCAAAGAATGCAGCTACCAGCTATGCCATTTACTTTTTCTTTTTTCTTTTTCTTTTTTGAGATGGAGGCTCACTCTGTCTCCAGGCTGGAGTGCAGTGGCGCCATCCTGGCTCACTGCAACCTCCGCCTCCTGGGTTCAAACGATTCTCCTGCCTCGCCTCCCGGGTAGCTGGGACTACAGGCACATGCCACCACGCCCAGCTAATTTTTTTTTTTTCAGTAGAGATGGGGTTTCACCATGTTGGCTAGGATGGTCTTGATCTCTTGACCTCACAATCCACCTGCCTCGGCCTCCCGATGTGCTGGGATTACAGGCGTGAGCCACCGTGCCCAGCCTTTCCATTTACTTTTACAAGGGATATTATTTTTAGAGATTCAATTGCTCCTAATCTAACTGTACATTATTAAGAAAACCTAATGCTAAAAGAATAAGGAAAGGCATCTTGAAGGCAGCTCATGTGAGCAGTTGTTTGATTGGAAGAGTCTTTGGGCCTAAGGAGGACATTTTGAGATGAGGAATCTGAGAATAATGAGCTCACAGTCAAAGAGCTAGTTTCGTCAGGGCACAGACTAAAATTATGTCTCCTGATTTTCTCTTTCTCCGCAGTCTCAGTCTTTCTCCAACTTCGAGACAGAACACTGGTGTGCCCTGTAGCCAGCTAAGAATTCCATGGGTAAGTCCCTGATGACAATTACCCTGGGCACAGACATGCATGAAAACTCCCAGTCATCCTTTTGAGAGAGGGACTGTGTCATCTGGCTGCTTTTGAAGGACTCTATTTTCTATCCCCAGAAGGACCAATACTCCTTAGACTATTATCTTCTTAGTGCCAGATTTTAGAGGGCAAGGATATCCAACCATCTTATTAAATCAGAAATAGCCTCACCCAATTTTCTAGCCTAGAATGGAATAGTCATCAGTTAAAAAATACCTTTTAATAAGCTCCACTGTTAGAATCCTGTTTTCCCAGAACAGAGAAGACAGAATTTTTTTTTTCCCTTCCTTCCTGGGCATTTACCCATTGAAAATGTCAGGGCCGTAGAAATTTTCTCCGGAAACTACATTCTCATTTTCTAACCTCTTCCTCTGTTCTTAGACTACCATGCGTAGCTATGAGCATCTGCTTGAGTTGCTAAGCTAATATTTTACCTGCCACCAATGTCCCGTCTCACTCTCCTCACTAACAATAATTCCCAGAAAATCTAATAAAAAAGATTGAAAAACCTCCAGCACATTATTTTTGGTCAAGTTTCTTCATACTGTTGCTTGATTTCACCTAGACTCAAGTCTGTAATAGGCTGGCAAGGTTATTTTTTAATCAAATCTATAAAATTTCTAGCTGTGGAGTCCTGATATTTGTTTCTCCAGGAACCCTAGACTTAATTTTATTTTAAAGGACTACATAGGCCAATTTCTTTAAATATAACTTTTTTCCTATAAACACCAAATTGGGAATCCACCTGCCCTTCCCAGTAAGATCATGAACTCAGTGTGCAGCGATTATGTTCAGTTCTTTTTTTGTTATACTCTTATTTCATTATTGGAAATGAATTAAAGTTATTCTAACAACACAGATCAGCAAAATGGACGATAGTCACAAGGACCTTGCTGACCAAGCACTAGGTGTCAATATTTTATATCGGTTATTTACATTCTATTTTTTTCTTTTTTTTTTTGAAATTGAGTCTCACTTTCTTGCCTAGGCTGGAGTGCAGTGGCATAATCCTGGCTCACTGTAGCCTCCACCTCCTAAGTACAAGAGATTCTAGTCCCTCAGCCTCCTGAGTAGCTGGGACTACAGGCACGTACCACCACACCTGGCTAATTTTTGTATTCTTAGTAGAGACAGGTTTCAACATATTGGCCAGGCTGGTCTCGAACTCTTGGCCTCACGTGATCCTTCCTCCTTGGCCTCCAAAAGTGCTGGTATTACAGGCATGAGCCACCGCACCCTGGTAAAAACATATTCTTCACAGTGATTACCACACAGTTCTAGTCTCTTTTCAACATGTTTGATCCAAGGACACTGTTTTCTATGAATATTCCCTGGAGATCTTTTAGATGGATAAAGTTATGGGAGAGGAAGTTTGTTTAAATCAGTTCCTTTAGTAATGAAAGAATATGATCAAATTGATCTAACCTAACTCTGCCATTTCACAGGTAAGATGGAGTTTCATAGTGTGAATGCATAGAGCTGTATTATATTAACAGACATGTTTAAAACAGGAGAATATTTAGAAAAGGCAATTCAACTGGTGAATGATTGAAAAATCTTGTCATAGAAGTGATTAAAGGAATTCAGCCTGGAAAAAAAAATGTGTGGATATTTTTAAAATATTTGCGTGTGCTCATATTTAAAAAAAAATATCAACTTTGTTTGATGAAGCTGTGTAGTAGTTAGGAAAAGATAATCAAATTTGTCAGGAGACTGTGTGCGGTGGTTCACGAGCCATCACTTTGGGAGACTGAGGCTGGTGGATCGTTTGAGCCCAGAAGCAAGAACAACTTGGACAACACAGGGAAACCCCATCTTTACAGAAAATCCAGAAGTTAGCCAAGCACAGTGGTATGCACCTATATCCCAGCTACCTGGCAGACTGAGGCAGGAGGATTGCTTAAGCCCAGGAGCTAGGAGCTGCAGTGAGCTGTGATCACGCCTTGTACTCCAGCCTGGATGATGGAATGACAAACTCTAACAACAACAACAAAAAAATATTGTAAGGAGACTGAATTCCCTTCACCTCAGAAAGGAGGCTTTTTGAAATTTAAAAGCAGTGAACTTTTTGGTTAGGTAATACTTGCTAGAAGTGTTTAAGAATGGGTTGTTCAAGAGTAGAATCTTAGGGTGGCTAAAGAATTGGGGTCTGAGTCCCTTTAAATGTTACAATTCTATGATTCCAGTAGCTTTACAGTATAGATGGTATTTACTTTGGTCTACACACTAAACAGAAAGATTACAATGGTCATGATGCCCAAGGAGTCAACTCATCAAGTCGCCATGAAGGTAGCTCTGATTTAATTAATCCAATAGCTGATTTGAATAACATGTCTGAAGCTTGGGCTGCAGATAGAACCCAGCTTTTATATCCAATGACTCTGCATGTTAGTTTTGCCTACAGTATATACTCAGAAGTTTTTAAGTGAATATGCACTCTTTAAATAGGGAAAGGGTGGGAGAAATGTCTTCTATTTATCTTGTATCCCTTTCTAGAACCAAGTAATATCCTGGGCACAAAACAGATACCTAACAAGTATTGGTCAATTTATACTTGTTGACCATTGATTATTGATTGATACTTATTTTTGGTTGGAACCTCAAGGACAGTGGCTAAGCACACAGGAGTGTGGCATTAGCACGCCCTAATGAGCTTGTTTATGCACCCGCCTCTTTGGTTTGAATGGGTGCATTTTCCCAGATTAATGGCGATCATACTGTTGTAGCCTCTAGCATCAGAAAGCTTCCTCCCTGCTTTCAGGCACATTGAATTTTCACAGGGATTCTTAGTGTCCGACTTAGGAAAGATGCTCATTGCCATCCAGGAATGAATATGCATAAGAAGGACTTTATCGTCTCCTGAGTCAAGTCTTGTTTATTCAAGTCCATACTTCACATCGGGCTTGTGAGACTGTGGGAGGGGATGCTAAAGGAATGAGACTGCAAATAAGTGTTTTTGGACCTCAGTCCCTAAAAGTAGGGCTTCAGAGAGCAACTTTCTGATGCTGATCACTTCCTAGTGTGGTAACACCTGCATTTTCACAGCAGAGAAAACACAGCAAACTCACATGTGGTTAATGGGATATAATCAGGGCAACCAAGTATAACCCCAGAAACACGATTTTATTTGACCTGTTAATCATTCTCAATTCACCTCTGGCTGTGGACCTCTCTAGTGCTGGGAAGTGAGACCATCCTGGCTGTTCTCTGCATAGCAGTCATTGCACCAAAAGGCAATGATTTTTAATTCTCCCTTAGCACAGTTTAGCACTGGCTGGTAGAAGCAGGCAGACTTTTGCTTAGGGTAACGCTGTGCTTGTCGATGGTGCAGCTGCTGCCCCCCTAAGGAACAGAGCAGGAGAGAGCTTAGCACAGGTCCAGAGCTGTCCTGCAAAAGCTGCATGTAAGAGGGGTGGTGGATTGCCAAGGTCAGTTAAGACGTTTCTCTCTCTCTTAATCTGGGGTTTTACAAAAGAAACATCTAATAATTGTGAGAAACAAAATAGCCTGAATGCACCTCAATAAATCAGTTTTCAAAATATCTTGCCAAGGTATCTTTTATGATGCCTGTCATTACCATTATCACCGCCCTTCTTATTTTTTAAATTCTTTTTAAAATTTTGACCACCATTCTTATTGTTAATATAATGACAAGAATATTAAAGAACTGTTGACAAGCACCGAAGCCACGTTTAACTGGCCTCGTTTTGTTATAATTAAACGGAATCCCTAAAGGGCAATTGAGGAATAGCATATCTCTGGATGATCTTGTCTGTCCCCAAATAGGCATTTTGGGAAATTAATTTACAGAGCGGTCATTTGAGACAAAAATTTCAGGCAGATTACTTGTTGGGCTCGCTACATATTTGGTTTTGCTCCCTGCAGGGTTGACGTTAGGTATATGTAACGTAAAACTCAAGTTGGGGCTTCTTAATGTGGTGAAAATTACAGTGATTTAGCCGTTATGCTACTTTCAATTTGCCAGCCATATTTTATGGGCACACTAGCGGAATACACTCTGTTGGCTGTATGTTAAAACCATATTTTATTAATTAGAGCCCTATAATAAATAAATCACTAGTTTTTATGGCATGTGAGTCCACTCTTGATTCAAAAAGCTTGGCATGTGGCTCTGATTATGCCTCATGGGATGGCTATGGAAGTTCCTCCAACCCCCTTTCTTCACCTGTTTAGGGAGAATTACAGCGGAAACTTTACTTCTGCAGAGAAAAGTTAAGAAGAGGGATTGGTTATTGTAAACAGAGTTATACAAATGGCTACAGCACACTGGACAAATGTGCATGGCATCAGGACCCTGGGAGAATCTTTGGTGCTTGCAGAATTTTGCCCTTTCTTCTTGTTCTTTGTATTTGGGGGAAAATGTCAAACTATAAGCCTCCTCAAATTCTTTGTGGAGCCAAGAAGAATATATGTAAGTAAATATATTTAAATTATTTAAATATATATATGTATATATATATATATATATATATAAAACTTGAAAAATATTTTTATGGAGGTCTGATTGTAGTAATAAGTTATTTTTATAGACTGACTTTCTTTGTCCTGTGTTCAAATGCAAACGGGTGGTCAGCATATAATAGATTCTCTTTGGCAGCTCCAGGGCAGGAGTTCGGATCTGCGACCTTTAGGCTCCCTTGACCTCTGTGTGCCTCGGATTACCTGTCCGCAAACCGCGGTGGGGGATGATCATAGGTTGTGGGAAACGCTTCTTTGTTTGAAGCTTCTGTCAGTGTGCTTGTGGATTTCAAGATGAAAAGATCTATTGTTATTTTGAAGACTGAGGATAGGCTATTTTCCTGACTAGGCGGGGAAAAGCCTTAGGAATCTGAGTCTCCTGCAAGAATACGCAATGGCAAAAGCCTAGGAAGCGTCTCCCCCACCCTTCCCTTGTTTACCAACCAGTGTTTATTTAGCATTGCTAAGTGCAAGTCTCTGCAATGCTGCCATAACCTGGAGAGGCTCCTAGCCTGATTTATGCAGCCTCAAGATGGGAGGGGCAGAAACGTGCCTTGGGTATGTGTGATAAGACTTCATCTGATCTTAAGGCAACCAATGTTTATCAGACATTTTGCTAGGCACTGGAAGTTCAAAAATGACTAAGAGACCTCTATTGAAAGAGTTTAAGATTTGGTAAGGAAGAGAAGAAGAACATCTAAGCCGAATACCAAGCCTGGTGACCTTGGAGACAGGACCAGGAACAAAGCACAATGGTTGCTAAGTCCACAGCCTCAAGGGGGCACTCCAGGGTGCCCTTCCCCATTTCTTTAGTCCACCTACTTGCCCAGTCTCTTAAACTTCTACTTATTTATTTGTTTGTTTGTTTGTTTATTGAGACAGAGTCTCGCTCTGTCACCAGGCTGGAGTGCAGTGGTGCGACCTTGGCTCACTGCAACCTCCGACTCCCTGGTTCAAGCAATTCTCCTGCCTCAGCCTCCCGAGTAGCTGGGGTTATAGATATGTGCCACCTCGCCAGGCTAATTTTTTTCATTTTTAGTAGAGACGGGGTTTCACCATGTTGGGCAGGATGATCTCGATCTCCTGACTTTGTGATCTGCCCTCCTCAGTCTCCCAAAGTGCTGGAATTACAGGTGTGAGCCACCGCACCTGGCCTTAAACCACTATTTTACACTCTCTCCTCTTTCACCCAACATGTTAGCTCTGGTGACCTCAGTTCCTAATTCCTTAAGAAAATAAAAACAATCCAAAGAGAACTTTCCAGTGTCTCCTCCACAGTTACTACTGTCCCACAAGCACCCTCTGACTAGACAAAAGGCTCACCTGTTCCTCTTTCAGACTGAGGTCAATCCCCACTTGTTCACTAGGTCCCATTCCCTCTGATCTGCACAAAAATGTCACTTCAGCACTTCTCTCTTGCGCTGGTACATTTCTCTTCCTTCGAGTGGATGATGCCCATTATTACCAAACTTGCTGAAATGTCTGTTGTCTTAAAAATTCCTTCCATTGACTTCACTCCACTTCCCTGCATTTATTTGTAGCAAAACTCTTTGAAAGCATCTTTTACGATCACTGTCTTCACTTCCTACCATCTCATTTTTTTCTCTTGAACTAATTCTATCAAGACTTGTCTGCACTACTCAACCATAACGTGTTTGGGTATACACCCAAAGGAAATGAAATCAGCATGCCAAAGAGATATCTGTACTGTTATGTTTGTTGCAGCGTTATTCACAGTAGTCAGTATGGAATCAATCTAAGCATCTATCTACAGATAAATGGATAAAGAAAACGTGGTATACTGACACAATGGAATGTTATTCAGCCATAAAAAAGAAGGAAATCTTGTCATTTGCAACAACATGGATGAATCTGGAAGACATTATACTAAGTGAAATAAGGTAGGCACAGAAAGACAGATACCATATGATATCACTCATATGTGGAATCTAAAAAGTAGGTCTCTTAGGCCCAGTGTGGTGGCTCACACATGTAATCCCAGCACTTTGGGAGGCTGAAGTAGGTGGATCAGGAGCTCAGGAGTTTCAGACCAGCCTAGTCAACATGGTGAAACCCCGTGCATACTAAAAATACAAAAATTAGCTGGGCATGGTGGCACGTGCCTATAATCCCAGCTGCTTGGGAGGCTGAGGCAAGAGAACTATGTGAACCAGGACCTGGGAGGCAGAGGTTGCAGTGAGCCAAGGCAGCACCACTGCACTCCAGCCTGGGCTACAGAGTGAAACTCTGTCTCAAAAAAAAAAAAAAAAAAAAAAAAAAAAAAAAAAAAAAAAAAAAAAAAAAAAAAAAAAAAAAAAAAAAAAAAAAAAAAAAAAAGTAGATGTCTTAAAAGTAAAGAGGAAAATGATGGTTTTCAGAAGCATGTTCAGTTAGTGGTGGGGGAATATAGGGAGATGTTGGCCAAAGGATATCTAATTACAGTTAGGTAGAAGGAATAGAATAATGTGTCCAGAATAGGTGAATAACTAGAGAGAGATGGTAGATGAGTGATTGCCTGGGCCTGGGGGCTGGAGACTCGGGGCTGGGAGGATGAGGATGGGTGGGTCAGGGGAGAGGAGTGAGAATGACTGCCAATGGCTATGGATTCTCTTTTTAGTGTGATGGAAATGTTCTAAAATTGATTGTACAACACTGAACATACTAGGAACTAATTTAAGTAGATAAATGATATGACATGTGAATTCTATAACACTAACACTGTTCAAAAATATAAATAAATAGAGACACTGAAAAGAAAAACAAAGCTTTTGCCAAGGTTATTAAGGACCTTCATGCTGCTAAATCGGTGGTCAATTCTTAGTTCTCTTCTGACTTAACAAACCTATGGGCCCATTATTTTCTTGAAACATAGCCCACGTTCAGTTTCTCTTTATTAACCCGACCCTTAAATAGTGGAGTGTCCTGGGTCTCAGTCCTTTGATCTTGCTTTTATGTGTACTTACTTCCTGAATAAGATTCATTCAGTCTTTTGGCTTTAAACATCTGTAGAGCCTGACAGCTTCTCATATTTATATCTCTCGGCTGGACCCCTCTTCTATACCTCAGACTTCATGTCTAACTGCCCAGTCCTTATGTCCACTAGGATGTCTAATAAATATCTCAAATATGCAAAAACAAATGGACTGATTCTCCTTTCTCCCACCTCCTCCCAGTCTTCTTCTCAGTCAATGATACCTTCGTTCTTCATGTCAATCAGACCATTAGGCTTGGAGTCATCCTTTACTCCTTATTTAAAAAAAATAATTAATTAGGTCAGGCACTGTGGCTCATGCCTATAATCCCAGCACTTTGGGAGGCCAAGGTGAGAGGGTCACTTGAGCCTCGGAGTTTGAGACCAGACTGAACAACATAATGAGACCCTAACTCTAAAAAAAATTAAAAAAACAGCTGAGCATGGTGGCACATGCCTGTAGTCCCAGCTGCTCAGGAGGCTGAGATGTGAGGATCCCTTGACCCCAGAAAGTGAAGGTTTCAGTGAGCTGAGATCATACCACTGCACCCAGCCTGAGAGATAGAGCAAAACCTTGTCTCCCCTCCCCTCCCCTCCCCTCCCCTTTCCCCCTCTCCTCCCCTCCCTTCCCTTCCTTTCCCTTTTCTCCCTTTCTCCCTCTTTCTTTCTTTCTTTCTTTCTCTTCTTTCTTTCTTTCTTTATTTCTTTCTTTCTTTCCCTCCTTCCTTCCTTCCTTCCTTCCTTCCTTCCTTCTTTCTTTCTTTCTTTCTTGCTTGCTTGCTTGCTTTCTCTCTCTCTCTCTCTCTCCCTTCCTTCCTTCCTTCCCTTTCTCTCTTTCTTTCTTTCTTCTTTCTTTTCTCCTCTCTCTCTCTCTCTCTCTCTCTCACCTCCC